CACCTTGACAGTTTGGGTTGAGTTTTATAGGCAAGGAGGAAGAACACACACAGACACACACAATTGCTCCTTTTCAGTTTGCATCCCTCTCCCTGTAGACAATGCTCCACAGAAATGGAGCAGAATAGAGATGAAAGGATTACCAAGTGGAGCTATTTGAGGGAAACCTGGCTCATTATTATTTGGAGACAGGAATATGTAAGTGGCTAGTTACATCTGCAAATTGCTATTACTGGGGGATTGCAAATAGACCTTAGTGGGTTTCTGAGTAGTTGAGTCAAAAACACCACTGCCAGCAAAAACATGGGGAAAAATTAAACAGAAGCAAAGAGAAGAGCGGATGGAGGAGAGAAAAAAAAAAAAAAAAAAAGAAAAAAAAAAAAAGGAGAAGAAAAGCAAAGCATCTTTTGCTCTTTCTGCCCTTTGAATGAATAGAAAATATTTTACTCTAATACCAAGAGAAGTCTAAGGTCATTGCTTTAATTTTTAATCTGAGCTGGAGGATGTAAAAGAAGTGTTAATGCACCTACATGTACATTTCCTTTTAAAAAGAAAACTACTACATCTGCTGATTTGAGTATCTCACTAGCTGTTAGCTTACTGGTTCTACATAGGATAAAGGCTGCACTTAGCCTCAACATCCTAGCAGTGCCCATCAATCCCATTTTGCACACTGGGGGAAAGATATTTTGTCAAGAGTGAATGGAAATCTTATCTGAGCATCAGAAACTGGATGACAGGGTTCCAATAACTATATGTTTGTAGTTGGGCTTTGTGTTTGTTTTGATGTAGAGTAGAGGTTGCTGTTTGCATGGTAATTGAGCAGGCTGTTTTGTTAACTGAATCTTAGGCACTAGGAAGACTCATCTGAGTGATTTGATCATGGAAGGAAAGTAAAACACTCGTGATAAATGTTTCTTCCTTCAGATTCTTTCACAGTATGACTGAAAGCTGTGTTTCGGGGATGTTTTGTAAATGACACTGAAGCATCATAATGAATTGAGTATATTAACATCTTTACATTGAGTCTCCATAGCCTAACCCTGAAACCTACAACCTTTTGTGAACCATACAGATTTATTTTTTTCATTTAAGTCCTTTTATTACTGTGGTGCCAGCTATTGCTTCTATCATTAAATGTCTGTCAGCATTTCCATTATAAACCTTATTTTCAAGGGATTTATAACCTACCTATTTTAATTCATGTTGATCTGTAATTTGCCATAGAAAATTTTCAATAATGAAAAGATGGCACTTTCTTTTCTTGCAATATTTGATTTAAATGTGTAGCTATTGTGGACTGACTGATGAACAAAAGCAAAGCATGATCTTAGGTAGAATCATTTTCCTACAAAATAACTGTTGATCAGGATATAAGCCAAAATATTAATTTTGCAATTTGGAAACAAAGATGGAGAACTTTTTATTTTGCAAATAAAATTCATCAGTTTCTGACTGATCAGAGAAGGATATTTTTTTCTCACCGAAAATAAAAACATAAGCTGGAATAAAGTACTTTGGGCATAGTTATACTTTCAATATTATTTCCTTTAAGACCAATATATTCCTATTTATTCCTATCACTTAAGAATGCACCACAGAAATGCAGAGTTTAATGAACATGTCTTTAAAACCTATTGAGGAGTGCTTTTGGTTGCATGTTATGATGTAATTCTGTGACAAATGGTGAGTTGCACTGTTGCCACAATACAAGAAAAAAAAAATCCTTCCATTGGCTTACCCATCTTGCTGTAGCTGAAGGAGCTACAACATTATTCTTATGCAAAAATCTAGACAATGAAATCTTATTGACTTAATACCTAATCCAAAACCTAATGAGGTAAAAGGAATATTTCCTTCGAGTTCAGTAATCAGTAGAGCCTCATGGCTCATTGTAACAGCTCTCTTGAATTTCTAGTAACTGAGATAATCAGCTGCAAATAAAAGTCTGCAGAATATCTGGGGTCTTTGTTGTACACAGCTTTACCAGTTTTTATTATGGCTAACTCACCCTACATCAGAAGACCACTGTTTGGTCAGGTGGACACTTATCAGGTGTTTTTGTTTGTTCGTTTATTTATTTCTTTTACTTGATGTATAACACTTAATTAATTCCTTCCTTGCCACCAGCCTATAATTTTAAGACTGAATGTCAAACTTGAAATAAACTTAATTTAAAAAGTGAGCCAAAACTAGGATCAGAAGCTGTATGAGCCATGATGGGTCTTAGCGTCTGTTAAAATTTTGCATATATCCATGTGTTTTATAGCCTATTTAGTTAAAGAAAGCACTCACAGATCAGGAAAAAAACAAAACAAAACAAAACAAACAAACAAAAAACTACTGTACAAAGATATTAAACCAGCTTTCTAAAAAAAGTGTTTGAGACAAGGAGAAATATTTTTTCCTCCAACCTCTTTTACTTATAGATAGTAGTCTTGGATGTTAATCTTGTGGTTCTTTGTGAACTCATTTTCTTACTTGGAGAGGAATGGGGTGGACTTGTGTATGATGTCACTGAAATACCGGTTTCTTAAACTGAGGGCTACCTGGAAGAAAATATGACTTTTCAGTGCTCCCACATGAGGCAGGGCTATGCGTGTGAAGCCAGATGTCCCGCTGGCCTTAGTAGCAGAACCACTTCTAACAGTGAGGGATGTCTGTTAGCTTGCCATTGGGCCATGAAATCTGTTTCTGTAACACAGGATAAGTGTTTACTTATTAGCAGTAACCCTTCAGACAAAGAATCTACATGGACTGCTAAATGTGTAAAAAGTGTAAAAATTTGATGGTTACAAGAGCTGGTAAACTGTATTTTGCTGTTAGATAATCTGATTGCATGAGTCACAGAGAACAGGAAGCTGCCATTCATGTCAGTACTCAAAGAAAAGAAAGAGAAGAAAAAAATCCAGAAACACAAATCTTCTTCCAAAGGATAGATGGCAAATTAAATACAATTCAGGATTCTTTTTTTCTTCTAAATTACATTGTAATGTTCTACAATTTAATCTGCTAGATTGCTGTCCTAGATGTAGGTTAGTGTACCATGTATTATGTACTACTATGTTTTGAAACACTTCAGTCTTTGCATTAGAATTCATATCCTCTGCTACAGACTTTTGAGGAGCATTAGCTTACAGACCTTGGCTTCTTGGACAGTTTGCTATCATTCAGCTGCTGCTCCAATGCAAAGAGTATATTTTGGGCAAAACTTGTTCTATCATGAACTGGCAACGTTCTCCTCTTCCTATATCTCAAATACTGAGATGTCACAACTACAGCAACATTTGTCACTGGAAGGTGAGTAATACCAATTGAATAAACGTACAAAGGGTCAAGCCCTTGGGAAAATAAAAAGGCAAATCTCTCATTGTAAATGATTAGAAAAAATTTTGAAGCTTCCAGATGCAAATGGCTGATATTTTAGAATGTAAATATGCCTATTCGGAAAGTGTTTTTGTGTGTGCGCATGTGTGTGTGAAAAAAAAAAAAAAAAAAGAAAAAAAAAAGACTTGTTTGCACAAATAAAAAGCCTACAAATTTTACATTCATGCAAACTGGAAAGAGGTTTTGTTTTCTACAAATGGATTAGTTTTAAAGATACTGTTTTATATTTTGAAGACCAACCAATAACACAATAGTTTAAAAATAGTTCAAAAACAATATTTTTTTTTTTATTTTGGCATATCTGATCAGGCCAAAGGAAGTACATTAAGTAGTGATAGACTATTTGGTAGTGACATACTGCAGTCAGAAGTGTAATTGCTCTATGGTGGATACAATTTTTGTGCATGGATTTAAATGTTTATGACAATACTTGTTTTATTTTAGCCTGAAAGTAACAGTTAAAATAAAGAAAAAAAAATAACGTTTTATAGAGAAAGCCAAGGTGCTGCTTCACAAGGGCTAAAAAACATACTTTACCATGATTGCAATAACTACAGAATATTTACTTTATGGAGAAAAAAGTTAAATCGTGACATGATTTTGTTCTGTACATACCTAGATTTGAAGGAGATTTCTAATCAAAGGGCTCTTTATTTTAGCACAGAGGTAATGAGAATTCAATTGTCGGAAGCTTAAGTTAGTTATATCTAGATTAGAAATAAACAGGAAATATTTAACACTAAGGATCTGTTGCATGTATTACCAACCAATGTGGTTGACTATCCAGTCTTTTATGTTTTTAAATCAAGTTTGTGTGGCCTTTGGAAAGGGCCTTTGGAAAGAGAGGTTACAGTTCAGCCACAAGATGTTAGTTCTTATGCAACAATTATTAGGTGAAAATTTGTATTCTGTGTCACACAGAAAGCAAGGCGAGATAATGATGACAGTGGCTTTTGAACATCAAAATCTAGGATCTGCTGACAGTCAGGTGACTTTCTTGTATTGAAAGTCTCAGATCAAAGTAGTCTACCTCATGGGTACCTGAGTATTGTGCATATTAGATATGCAATTCGAATGTTATCAAAGTAGCATAGGAAAATGTTGGCCAACACTCACTGCACTCATTCTGACTAGGTGTATAGAGTCTCCTTAAAATTATTTATTTTTAAAAAGATATGAATGTTATTTAGTGTCTTGTTTAATCCAGCTATGTTTTTCTAATATATTATCACAGGCACTAAACCTGGCTCCAAATAAATTAATGAGGACAGATTTTTACTTAAACTCTACCCTTTATGCATTATAGACTGTGTATCTGTTCCTCAAATAGCATTCTGAAAAATATTCTATTTTTATTGAATATAATGAAGCTATGTTCTAAAAAATATGAATTCAGCAAGAAAGACTGTTGTCTTCAATGCACAGCTTTGATTTAATTGCATTCTCTGGAGAACATCATGTTACTGAATGTCACTCTATTATATTCTTTCTAAACAGTCTGTATAACGATACAAAGCACAGGATATGCTGTGTTTTCCTTCTCCTTTAATGTAAACTTTGGATAAATCGTTATAATTTGTATTGAATAGATTTTATCTTATTTATTAATCCATAGCAATGACAACAAATTAATGACCCAAAGATCAGGTGAGTAATTTAAATAAATGTTTTCATTCCATTTTCTCTGTCTGTCTACGTAAATATTCTGGAATATATCTGTATATATTGGTTGGTACTGTATAAAAGGTTGATACCTCTTTTTTATTATTTTATTTTTAGTATTGTTATTTTTACTTTTCTTTTTTTTTTCAGGCTGAAGGGATTATTTGTTGATCATATGACACGTGGTTTTCATCAATATAATTGTGGTGGTTTTACACCCTTTGTCATTCACCACCATTACCATAATTGTGCTGGGCAGCTAAACACCACAACCGCTCTCTCACTCCCCCTCCTTAGATGAGGAGGGGAAGAAGTAAAGCAAAGAAAAATCACAGGTTGAGATAAGGATAATTTAATTAAAGGGAAATAATAATAATAATAATTAAAGAACGATTATTATGAACTAAACAATTTAACTAAAGGGAAAAAAAAAAAAGGAAAGGGGAAAAGGAAGAGGAAAGGAAAAAAAAAGGAGGAAAACAAAAAATAAAACAAATGAAGGCTACGTGTAAGTGCAGAGGAAAGAATTACTCTCTATTTCCCACAAATGAGCGATGCTTGACCACGTCCTTGAAGCAGGGCCTCAACGCACATACCTGGTGTTCGTGAGGAGGACCAACGTTTTCACAATGAAAGCCCACCCCTCCCCTCTTCTTCCTGTTTCCACCTTTTATTGCTGAGTGTGACATTGTATGGTATGGAATATCCCTTTGGTTGGTTTAGGTCAACTGCCCTGTTGATGTTTCTCTTCTCACTTTTTGCCCACCCTTTAGGAGGGTTAGAGAGAGGCCCAATGCTATGCCAGCACTGCTCAGCTGTAGACACAACACTGGTGTGATAACACTGCTGTTCCAGCTACAAGTGCAGAGCTCACTGTATGGGCTGCTGCAGGGAAAGTTAATATTCCAGCCAGACCCAGTACAATAATATGGCACAAGTCTCACATACTTCATTAAAATCAGTAAAGCAAACATACTTCTAAATGTTACAATACATATACAATACATGTAAATATTACGATACTTGTACGATACGATGCATTTTTGCTAGTTTATATTCAAGTGTCATGCTACCAAACTGGTGAGATTAAATACACCACTTTTTGGTTTAGGACAAAAATAGCTTGTCTAAGGAGTCAAGTTCTTTAGTTTTGCTTCTCAAATGTATTGTTTTAGAGTTACTATATCACAGATGTCATCACCTGTTAATCTGTGTGAACAAATAATTACCATATAAGACCAGAGAGCAATCTAGGTAGCAGGTGACCTCTGTAGACCTATAGAGGCTCCCCATGTCTTTTTTTTTTTTTTTTTTCCTACAGGATTTTGATGTTTCCTCTCTTGCCTCCCTTAACTGCTATCAACTGTGCCTAAATAACCTACCTCTGCCTACAACATTACCTCTCTTATCCCATCATAGGATACCTCATAATATTTTTTCGGCATCCTGAATGATGTGACACAGCTGGGCCATATCAGAGATTTTTGCATTGTTCACTGCTGTGTAGGCTGCCTATCCCCCTTCTCCCTCTACTCTTAAGAGCAGAAATTTTCCAGCAGGTGATGAGAGGACTGCAGGAATAATACGAGTTTGGCATCCTCAGTAAGGTCCAGCATAATTCAGTATGGCTAGAAGCCCTTCATCATAAAAAGAAACACTAAGACTCCCTTGTTCTGATGTTCTTTTCTAGGTTTCTGTAATTACTTTTAGAGACAGAACACCTGGATAATTTTTTTTTTTCCTCACACACTATAGACATCCTTAGGTGTAGATACATTTCTTTTCTCTAGATAAACTTTAAAATAAGCCAGTCAAATATCAGACATGTCTCCCAGATGGGTACACATCTTCTAATACAATGCTGTTTGACCTTATTATCTTGCGTGTGTTCACACAGCACCTAAAGAGGCAAGAGCTATGAATATTATGTTTACCAGATGGAGAACTTAGTCACATAAAGTTAAGTATCAAAGAATAAAAGAGAAATCTTCAGCAGAACAAGTAGATAAATTTCAGGTACCTGTGGTCCCAGTCTAGTGCTTCTGTCAAACAGTTCTTAGTCAAAGAGAGACAGAGGTCATATCTGTTTTTCTGATGACAGGCTTTAGTGTTGAAGGAAATATTAAAACATTTGAAGCTTTTCATTTCAATGTGAACTTGCAGCATCTTCTAATTTTCTTTAACCATACTCTAAGTACAGAAAAGTAGGAAGAGAAAATGTTCATGTGTTCAATATCTCTTTATTCATACACAATGTTATATGTATAATAATGTATGCACATGACGGCTTATCTCCCTTATGACATTCATCTTCACCTCTGAGGAGAGAAATAATAAGTCACTAGTGACTATTGCACTTGACTTATCCCTCCACATCAGAGAAGATAAATGCCAATAGAGAGATCAACTCTTTTGTATTCTTTTCTAGGGGAGAAGGAATTTATCATAGGGATACTGGAATTTATCTTGATCAGATACAAATGATTTCATCATGGTAATAAGGGAATACTTATTGCATGCATACAACATCCATATTTTGAGTATAGTTTCATTTTTTATATATAGTTGAATTTATAAAACAGTCTCCTACTTTTAAGTCAATGCAAGTTGAAGCTTCCAGTTCCTACAGGCTTCCATTTAGTGAGAATTATTTGGGTAAAGGGAGAAGGGAGCAGAAACAAAAGAACAAATGAGGAGAGTGAATATAAAATGTATGTAAAAGGGAATTGGTACACAACTGAGGCATTTGTTGTCATGTATCACATCATATTAAATTGGACACTTCCCAACTTCTGCTAATGTAACACCATTTTGATACAGCTTTTATGCATGAAGTTAATATCTACTGGAGATAGAAATGCAGCAGAACATCTTTTCCAGATATTGCATTTGAAAAATACAAGCAAAATTTCCTTCAGAGTAATATTTTATTTGTTCTTTTTATAACCTGACTGTATCTCTTTTTCTATTTCCTTTTCATTTTTATTAACAAAGTATTTTCTCTAAAAATATAGGTCCTATTTCTTGATATGTTGTTATGGTTTCATTCAGTGCTGCAGGACCAGGTAGCAGCTACAACAGCTGGATTCAACCTCTAGAAAATATCCTGAAGGTATTCCAGCTATTGATCAAAGAGGTCAGAGTTTCCAGTTTTCAGAGGCCCCTTTGCTTGAATAAACCCTATACTCTTCAACTGTCATAATCTCTTTGTTCTGGAAAGTCTGAGAGCAATTAAGAGGGTTGCTGATACCTCTGTAACTGATGGTAAAACAAGTCTGAGAATCCATGTGAATACCTATAGATACTCTAAAGCTGTTTGTTTGTTTGTTTGTTGTTGTTTGTTTGTTTGTTGTATTTCAGATTTGTGGCAGATGGTAATGGAGAAACTGAAAATTCAGGATTATCACTGTTCCTTTTTCATATAATTCCTTGTTTCTGTAACCAGAAGGACACCTGTTGTATAGGTCTGAAAAACACAAAAATTACAGTGGGACTTCATTGACAGCAACTGTGAGGTGAAGCAGGCAAAGTAGAAGGAAAACAAAATGTTTGTTTATGCTCAATAACTCTTATGGTACAGGAATACTGCAACAGGAATGAAATAAGATACATGACTATGTTTCAACTATATGTAGTGAATTAGGTTACATTTGTTAATGTTGGCTAGACTGTTTATAAAGACATTTTAATCTATCAGAAAAGCCTATAGGCTCATATTAAAGACAATTCTGATTTGTGAAAGGTTTATGTTATAGGTTCTTTAGGTATCAGCATTGCCTCATATTAAAATATAGAGCATTTTACAGAGACATGCCCTACTGTTTGTCACTTTGCATCATGATGCTATATCTCAAAAATCACAGCCCCACCTAACCTCCCTACTCCTTTTTATTATTTTTTTATTATTATTATTATTTATTTATGGAAAACAAATGGATACTGAATAGCTCTTGAAAACAAGGGTTTACAAAGATCAGGAACTTGGAAGCAATTCTTAAGTTGGTGTTTCATGGACTAAATAGGTGGAACTGTGACAGCTTAAATTGATATTTTAAAGAGGAATTAATACCTTTAATATCAGTAACTCACTTTAATAAATGTGTTCATCAATATATATTTTAGATAATATTTCCTTCTTTGTTTTATATAAAGAATCCTAATTTATAACAACAAAACTAAATTCATCAGTGAGTCTATCTGTATATTTAAGATATCAGTTTCTGTGTTTAAGTATTTGAGATAAATATCATAAAGTTATATTAGGGAATATGTAAATTCATCTGCATGTGTTATCTAAATACTTTGTGTATACTTTTAGGTTCATATTAGTGTTGAAACTAATATACTGCAACCTTGAGCACAGTGGGAGCTATGAGAATCAGGGGAGCCATCAAGCAGGCTGATTAGACTGCCCACTGAGCACAAGTGATATGAAAACAAGCAAGCCTTGGCCAGCACTAAAGACAGAATGCAGCAGGAACTGCAGGCATGTTATACAAAGTGGGATGCTGTTGGCACTTATAAAATAGCAAGATGGTGCAAAAATGGACCAATCACCCCAAAATGCAGCCTTGAGTGATCAGTGCGTCTCATGGGAATGATGGGACAGAGTTAGTGGAATTGGAAACTAAATCACAGCCTTTGCTGTGCACACAGTTATGGATACACATGTTTATATATAACCTGTCCACATATCTGTCAACATTACTATTCTGACTGCTGTGGCACCTTGGTATGCTGGTGATATTTCAGTGAAAGAAAACAACTATTTTTTTAATTTTTATTTTTTTAACTTCTGAATGAATTGTAAACACAATAAACAGATTTGGAAAAAAATGAAATAGTACATACTCAAAGTACTGCATACAATTTTAGTATCAAGGACTGCTATAGGTCTTTAACTAGAGCTCCGTACAATTTCTGATAGATTTCTAAAAGGAATGCATGGATATTTTTATTTTGGAAATGCATATAGACATATTTTTTTTTGCCTGTAATGCTCCTGTCAATGATGGAAACATTATAGATTTTGTAAACTTGAGAGAAATCAGGTTGAAGGGCAGATACTTCAGCTTGATATCCAATAAGAAATTATGTAACTGTGTGTTCTTCTGAAAAGAGATTTAAACTACGTCTTGCTGTACACCGCTATTGTGGATCATTCATTTTGTGGACATGTTACCAAGGCTGATACTCTTCATATTCACAAAAGATGAATACACTCTGCCCTCAGTGAAAGGCAGAGGTGGCTTTACAAGTGAGTCTTTCTACTAAGAAAGGCATGGACATGTTTGTACTGACTGCAGGAGGAAGAAGGAGATGTTAGCAACTGAACCAAAGCAAATCTACAAATATGGGACTCCAGAGGATCTAAGAAACCCTTTGTTTTGTTTTGTTAAGGAACTGTTGCTATAAGAAATGACAGAAAAGCCTCTGGTTTGAAAACACTATCTGCTTTCTCCATCCATTGCTCTGTCTCCACCCATACTCATGACAAAGCAAATTTTAAGATTTGTTTACTAATTTCTCCTCAATATGGAACTATTTGGAATACCATTGCATATAGTCTAGTGTTCATCTCTTGTGTCACTTGAGGAACATGGTCATATTGTCACCTTATTTATATCTGACAGAAACCTTTTGCTCTCTTGATTTTAATGATGAAATCTTTTAAAAATATGAAATTAAAAAGAAAAATGAAGGTGCATGAAAAAAAATATTCACAGCCTTTTAAATCTTCTGCATTGAACAATAGATTTCTGTTCCTCAGCGTTTCTCTTTGTTGCATTCAACAAAAGGGCACCGGTGTTTATAATCATTACATGATTTTCACAACTTTCAAAAAAGTACTTTATGTTTGATGTTATCCCTATGATTTGTGTCAGCTCATATGTGAAATCAAACAGTTAAATTTTTGACATAAAATCCTAACTTTAAAGGGGATGTCATTCACCACCACTTGAAATTTTGGCATTTTGTACTCTAGACTTTGTGAAATAAGGAATGATTACAACAGTAAAACTGACAGTCCCTTCAACTATCAGAACTGAATGTCATGGGGGCATTAACAGTATATCCAGCCAAAAGGAGCTTCAATTTTAATATAAACAAGTATACTTGAAAACTGAAGACCAACAGTAAAGAGAATTTCACAGACTGCTTGGAAAATCTGTCATACTCTTTCTGGCCTAAATCTGATTCCAGGTAACCAGCCCCTTTAATAAATAGAATTAAAGTAAAATAAGCTGCTTAAAATAATTTAATTCTGCTTGGCTATAGTATGGACCACAATTCTTAGGGAGTTCCTCATTATAAATACAATTTTCCTAAGCTTTCAGACCTAAAACAGTGTTCAAAGCAAATACGTTCCACAGTAAATAATATGTCCTGGTATGCATTGCAAGTATCAGTAAAACTCATGTACAGAATACATGATATAGGTCTGCTAACAAAGACTCGAAAGTTCTCAATACCTTCTTCCTATTTTTCAACATTACTATGATTCGATGGTGTTTCTCATATGAAATCAGTTATTTTATTTCAGTTCAATAGTGTTTGCACAAAGTCGTAACCATGGCTTTTCATATTCTGAATGTAAACCTATTCTGATGGATATATGTATGTTTTACAGAACCAAGATGTCAGTGGCCTTTGGTCCAAGTAATAAAATCACCTCTTACACAGAAACAAGAAGTACTGTTAAGGCTTTAAACATCATCATAAACTATCATGAGTCACTCAGTACATCATCTTCAGGTACATCTTTTGGTCTGTTCTTACCAGCATCCATCGATCACAGTTTATAGGCTCACAAATGGCTTGGCCAACACTCAGTAGTAATATTTTAGCCATATCTACACTGCAAATAAAATCTATAGAGAAAATGTAAGGTAAATGTCTGATGTCTGGTAAAAAAAAAAAAAAATAATAATGTTGTATTTCTCTCTTTGTGAAAGTACTCGCTTCTAGGATGCAGGTGTCTCAAGATGCATCCATATCTACAGCCAAGGCTGCTCTAGTACGTCTGCCTCTCTCACAGAGATCAGAACTGAATCTAGACAAATGACATATTAGTTCTTCCCTTTTCTTCATGATTTTTTTATATTTTAAACTTTGCAGATCATTTTGTCAAACAGTTGTTAGGACAGTGATTTATCTTAATGACCAAAATCACAGACAGGGAACATATTCTGCCTTCCTCAGCCAGTGTAGTCTCATGTCAGTCAGTTGATCAAACAAGCAATTTCTAGAAGAAAAGCTGGTACTTTATGTATAGACAAGTAGCTGAAAAGTTAAAGTGAATTTCATGTAATTAATATTACAAGGCTTTGGATTCTGCATCTAAGAAAGCACACACAAGGTCAAGGGCAGAGCCTCAGAAGAGATGTTACTACCATGCCATGGTCCAGGTTCAAGGCTATTGGATGCTTTGGAAAGTTGTTAAAGTTGTCTATTTTGTCAAATATATCATGCTGGAAATTGACCCAAAGATCTCATTGTGTTGTGTTTTTTATTTTTTTTGCGCCAATTGAAATATCCTATGTTCTTTACTAAATTGTAATATAGTTTCTATCTTGTTTCATTTTTGAAAAGCTTTTTTTTTTTTTTCCTCAAAACCTTCCCCATATGTATCAGTTTTAGAAGGTACATAATTCCAACACTGTCATATAATACACACTCCATCAATAATAAACTGCTCTGAAATAAAATGGCCTTTAATTTTCTTATAAATATGATCAACATCAGAGCACAGAGTATCTCAAAATCCCTCATTCAATTCACCAACTCAACAGTTTCTCAACTTTGAGGGAAAACTAAATAGCAAAAGTGGTACTTGAAGTATAAGGTTCTCAGGTGAAGCTCAGGAGATATTTGTTCTTCAAAAGTCAATATATGCCTCAGATTTCAGAAGCTGTTCTATTAAGACTGGTATAAATAGACATTTACATTAGTGTTTTCTGCATTGCAACTAAATGTTGCAGTACTCTTGCCATAATCTTAAACTCATCTTGCTGTTGAGTAGTCCATTTTCCCCTTGGATTTCCAAACTATCTTTTCGTTAGATTATTAGTTCTGATAAGTCAATACAAACAGGTACCAATCTCCATGCTAAAACCAAAAACTACTAATATTGGAAAAGAGAGTCTGAGCAACAAATAATGGCAGTGGAAACTTTTAAGTATGCAGCTGTGAAAAGAGTGAATGTAATCTCTACTGTCTCTTAAAACAATCTAAAACTGTAAGTGACCACATTATGGTTTCTAGTGTTAGTATATTGGGAATATTTACTTAACATTGGAAGAAAGTAGATGTGTGAAAAGTTAGATGATTTCTGATTTTTCATTCATCAAAAAGATATTTTGAAGGAGGGAGGAGGAAAAGTTAATTTATTTTATTCTCTTTGGAAATTATAATCTAAAACATGAAGTCAGAAGCTATTTCTTGGAAAACTGTTTAGCACTTCTTTAATATATTTCATTTGTGTAATAGGTTTCATTTGTGCCGTCAGTCCACATCCATTCAGCATAAGTTAGAATGGTTCAGAATAGAGTCAAAGTGACATGAAACTATGACTACAGTTTTAATGTTTCTCCTCAACTCAGCCAGCAGGGAAAAAATGTGCTTATGTCAAGCAAGTGCTTAAGCATGTGCTTAACATTATATGTGTGATTCATTAAAAGGACTGCCAAGTTTGAAGCTGAAAGGGATCATTCCATTCATCTGGTTTGGTCTCCTGACTTAATAGAGAAGTTGTCACTTCTCTGGATAGTGACAACGAAAATATGGTTGCAAGTTTCAAAATCTCCCTAGAGCATCAGGATATAACTTTTCTTGATGGGATATATCATGGAGTTCAGTTTTAAGGACTATGATGTTCAGAAACTTTCTGCCAATAAATGCTGGTCTTGCAGAATTACACATAAAATTGTAGACTTGTCAGTTTTCAAGTGTGTCAGTATTTTATTTAGTTAAATATTAAAAATAATTGATTTTTTAAACTACATAGTATTGTGAGGAGTATGCTGTTACTTAATTTTGTGTGTTTTTAAAAAGCACATTTGTAAAAAAATTTCTCATTATGATAAATAATTTGCAACAAAAATTGATAATCTAAATATTGTTTAAAAATGAAGATGTAGAGAAAATATTTTATTTAGAAACAATGATGTTTATAATAGTTGGTTTTTAATAAATATGTTTGAAAATATACTACGCATGTTTCAATTCATTCTTGTTTAACATAATGTATGATAAGTGGAATATTAAATGGCCAGACAGTTTAGTTTTTTGTTGTTGTTGTTGTTGTTTTGTTTTTTGTTTTTACTTAAAAAGAATTTTAATGAAAAGAACAGGCAGGCAAAATATTTCTTGAGCTCTTCGTGTATAGAGAATGTACAGACAAAATATTTTACTGTAGATCCTTACATACAAATAGTTTATAGTGTATTTCATAAATGCTAATTTCCTTTCTAAGCGTCTCTATTGAGCATTGACTTTGGAGTAACTTATTGTATGCTTAAGTTAATTACATCTACAAATATTTGCAAAATTCAGAGAAGAGGCTTTACCTGCTAAAGGCAGCAGAATCTAACCCATTATTAACTTTACTTATTAAAAACTACTTACATTATGTCTTTGTTGTCTTTTGACTTTACTACCAGGAAATGGGTAACAAGATAAATCTATATTACCAGTATATGGAAAAAAACACCTTTTTAATATATAAACCTTGAAATATCACAAGACACAATGCTATGACTTTTGGCCATTTTATCCATATGTCAAATAAGCCATTTCTAACACAGCAAATACAAACACACACAGTCTTTATTATTTAAAAACAATACAGAAACTTTATTTTTAAAATCTAAATTTTAAAAATCCCTAACACTTTTCTACTGCTTTTGATGTCTGTAGATAATTTGTAAATTGTAGAATTTACAAATCATATCATTAGGAAGGTCTCAAATTCTAAAGATTAAAAATAGCTTTGCATTAGCTTTGAAAGGTCAGTGTGTACAGGTACCTTGTGTTAACAGAAGTACCTGTCACTCAAACATTGTTCATTCTTCAGAAAGATATTCACCAAAGCAGAAAAAGTAGCATCTTTTTCTTTTCTTTCTAAAGAAAGAAAATAAAAATAGACGGGGAATTTTGGTAGTAAATATGGTTAAAAATAAGGAAAAAATCACATAATCTTTCAAATGTTATGTATGAATATTGACATATTTAGACTGGAAAATAAAGAAGGTACTTATAGGTAACAGAACAAGAAAGATAATATGATCTGCTTCACCTATTTAAGTGAATGAGTTAATACAGAGAGAAATAAAGTACTTGATAAGTTGATTCAACAGCCTAAGAAAGAAGTTCAAAGAACTCTACTCTGTACAGTAAAAACTGGAAGAGCTGTCATACGCTTCCTAACATTAATACCTTGTGGAGAAAAAAAAATGACATTAACAAGCATCTGAAAAGTATTTGTTAGGCCTGATGAAACTTAAATTTTTCTTTGTTATGATCTTATTATACACCCTTGTTATGAGGGCAACTCATCGGTATGTTGTCCTTTACAATAAACTGTATTTGCAGCACAAAGTTTACCTTTGTTATTGGAAAATCACAAGCAAGAGTTAGAATGCACCATTCTCAAATCAAACTTTGATTTGTTGAAAACAAGCAGACAGTTCATATTTTATAGGTAACTAAATTATTCCTTTGCAGCTACAGCGCTGGTTATTGAACTAATCATGTGCAAATACTTGCAACTTGCATTCTACATATTGCCATCAAAACAGATATGCATTGTAATTAAGCAGGTATTTTTTATCAATCAAGTTTTTCCAAGTGAAGATATATTTGTGTGTATTGAAAATGCTGCTGTCTTGAAGCCAGGTCATTTCACATCACTGTGAAAGGTTTTCTGACATTATTTTAACTTATTTTTGTGGAGTCCAGGATAGAATTTGAGGCAGGCAGGAGCACTAAATAGAAGTAAAAACTCAGTTTCCAGCGTTTCCTAAGAGCTTAGTGGTCAGGGTTGTCTTGAAATAAAGTCTCTGATTCAGCACAGGATGTGCATTCCCATTGTCCTAGATGAATGTCTTACACAGCAGGCTCTTCTGAAGCACATACCGCCTTTAGCTTCTCCAATTGTTGCAACAGTTGAATATTCTTTCCTGATATATGCAGGAACTATGTTCAGTATTGTGGCATCCACCTGTCATGTACAAGAATTTTGGAAATTGAAATGAGACCTGAAGATTAGTTTTGGGTAGTTGCCCTATCTGCCTTTTACTCAATGCCTGTTGGGAGCCCGTGGAGAAGAGGGCACTGACATGAGAAACAATGTGAGTTTCAGATTTCAGAATGGCTTTCAGATTTCAGAATGGCTTCGGTTATTCTGGCCTTTTGGTTGTTAGAACTTTTCTTTCTGCACCAGGCTTTTGGGTGTCTGTAGCCTGCTGTCCCAAAATATTTCCCAGTGTTGTCCACTGTTGGCACTCTGCTGCTAAAACAAGTGATGTTCCCACTTTGCACTGTAGCCCCTGGGCTTAATGTCTTG